GTGCCTGTTTTGCAGAGTTCTTGTAAAGCTCTGGTGCCAAACACTTGGCATAGTAAGGGCTCAGCAGAGTAGCCAGTAGTGACCATATCAGTGTGTGGGGGCACAGGCCTGGGTACAGGGCCAGGGCCCCGATGCTATAGCCATTGCCACCCGTGCCCCTTGGTTATCAGAACTGGTAGGGGCCAGGAGCAGAGAAGCAGCCAGCTGGGTGGGACGGAGCTCAACCCAAGGATAGGGTCTGCCTGGGTAGCGGCCCGTGTGCTGCTTTCAGTGGGGGATGGGAGGGATTCTGTCACCAATGTCCAGGGCAGCAGCTGCTGAGAACTATTCAGGGGCGGTGGGGAGGAATGTGGGCATGATGCCAGGCCCCACAGCCTCCCTGCACGGCTGGAGAAAAGTGCTGAGCTCCCAGCCTGCTGGATGGCATTGGCTTCCCGAGCAGGCCCCACACGGGGCTCTCAGCCCAGTCCCCCAAGCCTGAGAATGTGACACGCTCTGTGGGCCAGGGAGAAGGGGGGAAAAAACTTCCAGCCCTGTGACCTCGGGCTGCTGCTGCCCTCTCTGGCCCTCAATCCCCTCTGTGATAGGAAGCAGGTGGAGACTGTGGGTGGATCTTGGGGTGACCTCCCTTCTGAACCCACTACCAATATCACCATTTTAAAATACTATATGTGGCCGGGCCTGGTGGCGCAAGCCTGTAATCCCAGCACTCGGGAGGCTGAGGCAGGAGGATTGTTGCAAGTTGGAGACCAGCCTGGGCTACCAAGTGAGCTCAAGGTCAGCCTGAACTGCAGAGTGAGACCTTGTCTCAAAAAAAAAAAAAAAAATACTGTATGTGTAAAGTACTTAATGGAGTATCTGGGTGTTGTGCCACATCCCTATAATCCCAGCACTCAGGAAGGCTGAGGCAGGAGGACTGCAAGTTTAGCCCAGGCTGAGCAACTTAGTAAGCTCTTGTCTCAAAATTTTAAAAAAATTTAAAAAGAGCTGGGAATGTAGCTTAGTTTAAAGGCCCTGAGTTCAACCCCCAGTACTGAAAAAATTTTTTAAAAGTCCGTATAACAGCCATTGTTATAATAATGAAATTAACAGGTGTTAAGCACCTACTAGGTACTGGCCATTTATAGCCACACTTGCACTTACTCTTTAATAATACTAAAGGCAAATAGGCACATAATAATTGGCGGCCGGTAGCGTGTATTGCTGTCTCCCGTGTTCTCATCTTGGTCCTAACGTGAGTCCTTTGATGTTGGGGGAAATTGAGGTTTGTGAGGTTAGGTGTCACCAGCCAGCAGGTGGCAGAGCTGAGGTTTGGTTCCAGGTCTGTCCAAGCACACGCTTCAAGGCCTTTTGCCAACGGGTTAACCCGGAAGCTGGCTGAGCCCAGGGCCTAGGCCACAGGGTGCTGTCTGGTGCCAGGGCCTTGTGGGGACCCCTCCACAACCCCTCCTTCCGGGGCCCCAGGTGTCTCCCAGCCCTGGGTCACCTGGCCTTGGAGCTGGATGTGTTGGCACTGCGGCTAGCCCCTGCATTGTCCTCCTGGGGGCCCGAGACTGCCAGGGAGGGAACCGACCCGGTAATTGATTGGCCCTTGATTGATACAAGTGGCGGTTCAAACCACAGTTTGAACCACGGCCCAGCCAGACCTCAGAGCTGCCAGGAACAGAGGAATCCACAGCCTAAGCTTCCTTTCAAGTTTGGGCACAATCTGCACTTCTGAGATTGATCTGCCAGTGGCTTTGGCAGAAACTCACGCGCTATACACTCGCGCAGCAAAGCCGGCTGGGCCCTGGAGCTTGGAGGGAAGCGGGCGTGGGGCGTCCTGGGCTGCTTGCTCGTCCCCGCCTAGCCCTGACTGACCTTGCAGGGCACAGGGGCTGTAAACACAGTGCCTCACTGCAGTGGCGTTCATACTCCATTCACAGAGCCAGCCCCGTGGGCCGGGCCTTTGCTAAGTGCTCAGCGAGTCCGAGCTCAGTCAGTCCTCACGGTGACCCCGTGAGCGACACCAACACATCAGGGCTTCTAAACCTCAGGGACACTGGCAGTCGGGGCTGAGTCGCCTGGGGCGGGGACCGTGATGTGTAGCAGCATCCTGGCCTCTGCCCACCTGATGCCAGGAACGGCCTCTTGCCAGGGAGAGAACACAAACATCCGCAGGTGTTGCCGCGTGGCCCCTGTGATATGCACAACCTTGAGAAGCCGGGGCGGTGCCGGTGCAGCCCGGCTCCCCGCTGACCTTGACCTATCCAGGAGAGAGGTGGGGGCTCGGTGTGCCCAAGGGGGTCCGTGTGAAGCGCTGGAAGGGCGGGCTCTACCATCACCCCCAAGTCCCCCCAGACAGAGGCCCCCAGCCACCTCTGGCCTGTCTGCTCCCACTCAAACCTCTCCCCCGGGGCGGGAAGGCAGCCTGGGGACCCTGAGTTTCCTCCAGGGTTCCCAAGTCCCACCTTTTTGCGCTGTCTCTTCCGACCACAGACGCACTTGCTTGGGAACTATTTATACCCCTCGAACAAATGCTCCCCTTGCTCCGGGCAGACTTGGTCTGTGCTCCGCAAGCGGCCCCAGGACACAGGCAGGGGTTTGGGCATAGAGCACATGTGCCTGGTGTGTGAGCCTGATGGATGTGGGATAGAGGCCCAGCTCTTTCCTGACTGCTGTGTGACCTTGGGTGGGTCACTTAACCTTTCTGAGTCTCTGTGAGCTAAGATGATTATGAGGCTTAAGGAAGTGAGTTTTCCAGCTCAAAAGCAGATGTAGGAAGTTCCGGCAAAGATTACATCTAACCAGAGAAGGGAGCAGGAGCTGGGAGCCCAGCAATGGCCCAGGAATGAGACGTGCGTTTGTACAGGATGTCCAAGTCCCCAGGACGCAGGTCTCCGGAGACCTAGCCTCTCTGTGTCACGCTGCCGTCACCTACAGTGCTGTCACTCAGCCAGCTGGAGGTCTGGGGGCTGCACAAGTTTGCAGTAGGCACAGGAAAGCCTGTTTGTCACCGCAGCCCCTGCCCCTGCCCCCGCTGTCCTAGGAGCTGGGCGGGCAGGTGTTTGGACAGCATGATAAGAGGGTTGTGTGCTCCAGGCAAGGCGGCACCTCCCCCAGCAGGGGGCAGGCCTGGAGGCCACCTCGAACCCCTCCGCACGCACACACACCCACGCAAGCCACAAGGAGGGGGTGCCTTCCAACTCCCACCCGGTCCCACCTTGCCAGGTGTTTGGGGGGTGGAAGAGAAGGAAGCGTACAGGCTGGAGGCCTTGGATCACTGTCCCTGTGCCAGGCTGCCTGGGTCTCTGCCACTCCCTGGGGCCCAGGCACAGCTAGTTCCCAGCCATGCCCTAGTCCTGCCCCTCCTGCTGTAACCCTTGGCCCTGCCTCTGCTTCCCTCCTCGACAAAGGCGGGCAGAGACCCACAGTACAGGCAGCCCTGCAGCCCTCCCTTGATTCATGGGTTATTTATTCACTCAACACCTGCAGTGCCTGCTAGGTGCCTTTTACCTTCCCTACTCCAGGGCCTTAGCATAAGCGAGGGGCCCGAAGTTCGATCCTCAGCCCAGAAAAACAAAGCAGGCCACCTTTCACATCCTCTAGCCTGTGCTTCTCAACTTGGGGGTGGCTTTGGACCCCAGGGGACATGTCCTAATACCTGGGAGACACATTTGTCTGTCACAACACAGGACGCCCCCCCAACACAGGATGCCCCCCACACACACACAGCAAGCTGTACCCTGCCCACCATGCTGCAGTCAGGCAGAATTGCCCGCCCTGACTCACAAGCCTGCCATCAGAAGTGGAGCCAGGAGATAGGCTGAGAGGTCCCTCAAGTGTTCACCCATAACCAGGAGCTGCTGGAGCTGGTCAGAGCTGGCTCTACACCCTGTGCAGTGTGGATTCTGTCTCACCACTCATTCATGTCACGGCAGTCCAGGGCAGCTATGGTTTCAGCTTCCTTGTGCTACAGATCTGGCAAAAAGTTAGCGCTGTTCAACATGCAGGAGATGCCAGGATGAATGATGAGTTCCCCATCATTAGAGGTAACCAAGCAGGAGCAGAGCCATGTAGCAGGTTTCTGTCTGGTCTGAGGTTCCTTCTAGCTGTGACAGATGACATTGATATACGGCCTCCAAATGATATAGGGAAATATAACTCCCAACCTGCTACATGTCTGATACACTGAATTCACGTTCCCCAAAGTTGAAGAATGAATTCAGAGGAACAACGGAGGTTAAGTATAGGAAGTTTTTTGGGTTTTTTGTCTTTTTGAGACAGGGTCTTGCTATACAGTTCAGGCTGGCCTTGAGCTCACTTTGTAGCCCAGGCTGATCTTGAACTTACAATGATCCTCCTGCCTCAGCCTCCCGAGTGCTGGGATTACAGGCATGCACCACCCCACCCAGCAAGAGTAGGAAGTTTTATTTAGGGTGTGACAGCTCCCAAAAGAGACAGGAGGACACCTGAAAAGTGTGTTGCCAACCAGTCTACTGCTCAAAGGAACTTTGATAGTGCAAGATCCTGAGGTGGGTACAACATGGGACAAAGCTGTGATTAATCAGTAAGATTACAAGTATAGCCGCTTGGGCAACGTTGATCCAGTGGGAAGCAGGTCGTGTAGCAAGTGTTCATGGAAAGAAGGACCTTTTTTGGAAGAGACAAGTCAGGAGGTCCTAGTCACCCACCTGCACCTGTTCAGATTATCAATTGTAGTGTATTGCTTATCCCGGGGGAGTTATGTGGGTGTAGTCATTCCATCTTTATCTTGAAGCCTGGCCTTCAACAAATGCTCCTCCACCCACAGTTGTAAGTTCTTGTTCTTATCTTCCGCACCGACTCCTTCCAGGCCTGGCTCTGTCTGATGCTGCCTGTATTTCTGCCTCACTTAGCCATCTATGGTGACAGGATGGGGAGGCACCGTCCGAGCCCCTGGGATCCCTACACTAAGCTTGTGGCCTCCAGCCAGTCAGATTTCAGTACACCAAGTCCTTAGCCCCTGTCTGCGCCCACAGGTACGACGCCGGGCGGGATGGCTTCATCGATCTGATGGAGCTCAAACTCATGATGGAGAAGCTTGGAGCTCCCCAGACCCACCTGGGCCTGAAAAACATGATTAAGGAGGTGGATGAGGACTTCGACAGTAAGCTCAGCTTCCGGGAGGTGAGTCCCACCCCAGCCCTCTCCCCCAGGGGGCTGCCCCTGAGGCCCTGGTGGCCAGAGAGAGACCTGCCCCTTTGTCCCTGAATGACATGGGACTGGGGCAACCTTGGGTGACTTCACACTCAGGACCTTGGTCCTCCCTCGCCCTGAGCAGGAGCTGTGGATAACCTGTTCTCGGGGGAGGAAATAGGGTCTCAAAGCCGCGGTGGGGTGGCCTGCAGGGGGCCTTGGGAGAGTCCCGGGAGCTGTTCAGAGTCAGAGGACACAGGTTCTGATCCTTCTAAACTGAGACTTCAGGCACCTGCTGCCTCTGAGCCTCCCTTGTAGAAGAAACAAGCAGAGTATTTGTTTGGGGACCACTGGGACGTGCAAAGTGGGTGTGATTGTTAGCGGGAGCTGAATGTGGACAAAGAGGAGTCACCTGGCCTCCCATTGTGCAGAGGGGCAAACTGAGGCCCGGGGAGGGAGGCACAGGAGCATGGAGGGGTGAGACCCGCTCTTCAGCTGCCTGGGCCTGGTGTGGCAGGGACTTTGACCCCTGTGTTCCACTACTGACACCTCACGCCCCTCCCCCTGCAGTTCCTTCTGATCTTCAGAAAGGCGGCGGCTGGGGAGCTGCAGGAGGACAGCGGGCTGCACGCGCTGGCCCGCCTCTCCGAGATCGACGTCTCCACTGAGGGTGTCAAGGGCGCTAAGAGCTTCTTCGAGGCCAAGGTGAGGCGCCTGAGGACCCGTGCACCAGGCGGGTGTGCCCCGAGCCCGGGCGCCTCCCCTTCCTGTCCCTGCCATTTCCCGCGGGATGGGCACGCACGGTCCAGGAGCCGAGGCTGCGGGACAACAGAGCAGATCCGGAGCTGCCTGTTCCATGGGGAGCTGACCCTCAGCCCCAGCCTGGGGAGGGCCAAGGGGCCCTTTGTTCCAAACGGAGAAACTGAGGCTCAGAGAGGTGACGGCAGCACCATGTGTGGGGCCAGGGCCGTGCACGGGGCCCAGGGTGGAGGCCCTGCGTGCTCAGATCCCGCCCGCCCCGCCCAGGTGCAGGCCATGAACGTGTCCAGCCGCTTCGAGGAGGAGATCAAGGCCGAGCAGGAGGAGAGGAAGAAGCAGGCGGAGGAGATGAAGCAGCGGAAAGCGGCCTTCAAAGAGCTGCAGTCCACCTTCAAGTAGCGAGGCCACAGCCACCGCCGGCCCTGCCCGGGGGCCGGGGGGCAGGGAGGGAGGCGCGTGGGAGGCGGGGCGGGACCACCACTAAAACCTAAGTTGTGAATGGAGCTAGTCCAGGGGTCTCTCACGCTGCCCGGCCACTGCCTGCGCCCTTCCGCTGATCCCACAGCTGCGACCCCAGCGCCGCCCCTGCCTGGCCCAGCCCTCCCTGGCCACCCCTGCGCCTCACACCTCTGGCCCAAGGTTCTGCTGTGCCTGTGTGCCTGGCCCCTCACCCATCCCGTCCCATCCTCCTGCTCTAACCAGCAGGCTGCCCTGCCCGGCGCCCGCGACAGCCCCCTACCGGATGGGAGCGCAAACACAAGAAGGATCGAGGCTGTCCCCTTAGAGCAGGGTGGGGGGCCCGTGGCAGGCACCAGGGGAGCTGCCCCAGGGCCTGTCCTCCAGCTCTGCCCCACAGTCTGCTGCGATGGGCGGGCTTCTGTTTCGGTGAAGGGACCCAGGCCCTGGCACCCCATGGTGACGTAGAGATGGGGCCCAGCCAGGCAGGGTGAGGGGCCGCTGTGCCGAACTACCTCACGGGCCGCACTCTGCCAGGCCTACCATGGGGTGGTGGGTGGGAAGGCTTGGGGGGCAGAAACACCACCCCCTGATGCCCCCGCACATCCTGAAGTTCCTAGGGGGCTGCGGAGAGAGAGGGGTGGGGAGGAGGGGCTGGGGTCCCCCAAGATGGGCTGGAAGTGTCTGCACCGCCGCTGGGGAGCAGGGCCTGACCCCCTTCCCACCCTCCTTCCCGAGCGATGCCCCTGGCTTTGTCCCTAGCTGCTTCCGCCCATCACAGCCACCCCTGGGAAGCATGGGGACCCCCATGCCATCGCCAAAGGGGCATGGCCAAGGCCCCCGCCACCGGCCGTCCTCTCACAGCCCCCTCCCCGTGTGCTTGCTCACGTGTGTGTGTGTGTGTGTGTGTGTCTGTGTGTCTTGCCGTGTTGTGAAACTGTGACCGTCACCTAGTCCAGACAAGTGAACGGCCATGGAGGCCACAGTTATGCAACTTTCGGTGTGTGTCCTGACAGCGTCACTGCTTTTTAAACTCGATCGATAACTCTTTATTTTAGTACTACGCCCTGGGAGCCCCCAGAGCTCCCAAGGGACTCGAAGAGGTTTTATTTTTTTGGCCTGAGAACCTGCAGGACGTCGGAGGTGCCTGGCCCCGTGCGGTGGCCTTCACCCTGGGTTGCGTTTGCCTTAGCGGATATGTTTATACAGATGAATATAAAATCTCCTTCTTCTTTTGGCTTTTTGCTTTTTATATTTTTCTTCATCCCTTCTCATCCCCCCCCCCAAAAAAAAGCTACTTCTTCATTGGGTGGTACGATTATTTTTTTTAACTAAAATAAGATAAAATTCTATATTCTTATGTGTGTGTGGTTCTTGCTGGCGAGTGGGGCAGGGGGCTGGGGAAGGAGGGGACAGCGTGAGGTCACCTGAATGTGGGGCGGTCATGCTGAAGCATGAGGAAGACAGATTCCGTGAAGAAGTTGGTCTTTGATGGCCACATGAAGCCACCCCGTTCTCGCTAAGCACCATGGGTGTCAATCCTCCAACCACCCCATGGGGGGCGCTGGTTTTATTCCTCTGAGCCAACACGACTGGACAGTCCAGCGGCACATGGGAGGGGGGCGCAGGATCCGGGCCAAGCTGCCCATCCACAGCCTGCCCCTTGCTCTGAGGTCGCAGATAAGAGGGCTGCATCCCCTGGCATCTCCCCCGTCAGTTTTTTCACCCCGCAAGTAGAAATAACCCCGTTGATCTCATGGTGGTGACAATTGAACACATCGTTCACGTGAAAGGCTCAGGTCAGTGAATATTCCCTCTTCATCCCTAAGACGCATGAGGACTACAGGGTTCAGAGTTGATGTCCCCTCGACCGTGCACAGGCGTCTGGCGACACACAGGGGTGGAACCAGAAGCTCTCTGTGTGAGTCTGGATAGATCTGGTGCCTACCGGGCCCCAGATCCACGCCTGCTCATCACCAGCGGACCGGGGTCTCCAGGTCTTCCCTGGAAGGTGGGGTGGGGGAGGAGTTGGGGGTTAGGTAGGCACCGCTGCCCTCGGCTGGTCATAGGTGGTACTGCAGCACCCTCTGGCTTCTTCATGGCCCTGCCTGGGGAGGCTGGAGGTGCCTTTGTGGGGTGCAGCACCCCACACACCTGCCACTCCGTGCCTCCTGAGCCACCACCACCACCAGCCCAAGGTGAGGCTGAGTGTCCCCTTTCAGTCCACGTCACCCAAAAGAACGACCTCAAAGTCCCTAAACTGCTGGGTACGGTTGAAGCTGCAGAGCCCAGGCCCAATCGGCCTGGTGCTGGCCACAGCCTCGAGCCCCCAGAGTCAGAGACGGGGCTGCTGTCCCAGGCCAGGGCCTCCACAACAGGCTCGGCCTGCACAACACCCGCTGCCCGTCCTGGTGGGGGAGGCTGGGAGTGACCCGGGGTCCAGGAAGCCTGGCTCCTTCGAACCCTCCCCAGGGCCCCTCTTCTCATTAAGCCACCCTGCTCCCCTGGGGTCCCAGCCTCATCACCAAACGCTGAACTAAGCCCTTAGTGTGTCCCCAAAGCCCCTCTGAGCCCCTGGGGCTTCCATCTGCTTTTGAGCGGAAGTCCCGCTAGCCTCGACCCACCCCCCGCCCACAGGCCTCATCCAAGAGGCAGCAGCTGCCACCCGAGTCCTGTTCCAGCAGCCAGCAAACATGGCCCTATCAGTGGCACCTGCCGGTTTCTCAGGCCCTCACCCAGCCTGGGCATTGCTCTGCCAAGGCCCCCGGGCACCATCTGACCAACCTCTGCCACGTTTCTTGTGCTTATTTTTCCAGCACAGCCTGTCCTGACAGCTCAGGGAAGCTGTAGCCGCAGGTCCTGGGAGGCCCCGTTCCAGGCCCTGGAGATCCCAGGCCTCACTTCTCCAATCACAGGGAGCCTCTTCCCAGGGCTCCCCTCTGCCCATGCACCCCAGGGCTGCTCCTACATCGGCCAACCTAGTGTCAGGCATCCCCCGACTCACCCGGGCAGAACCTGCTGGCCCATGGCTCCGGGCGAGGGTGGTTTTCTCCTGGTTGTCCAGGGCTTGCTGAATACACTCCAGGCCCAGAGGAGGTGCAGGGATGACCCAGATGCGGTGCCCCACCTCGCCGCCATCCATCCGGTCACAGGTGACCTCACACAGGATCACTGTCCATTTGGCAGTTATAGGAGCTGGTGTCCCAAGCCTGGGGCCCGCAGAAATGTTTTGAGTTCTTTAAAATCAATAGAAGAGGGGCTGGGGATTTAGCTCAGCGGCACAGCGCCTGCCTGGCAAGCGCAAGGTTGTGAGTTTGATTCCCGGTACCAGAAAAAGACAAACAAAATCAATAGAAGAAACTTATGACTTTTATATTCATATTCATACAGCCATTGAATATAACTTTTAATATATTTTGAGGAAGGAACCCAAGAAGGCTAAAGTACATAGTGATAGTTATGTCTCTCTTAGTCACTTTCTGTTTCTGACCCTGCCTGTCTCTGTGTCTGTGTCTCTGTCTGTCTGTCTTTCTCTCTCTCTCCTTTCTCTCTCCCTCTTCCCATAGTAGGGGCCAAACACAGGGCCACTCTACTACTGAGCTACATTCCCAGCCCTTTTTCATTTATCTTGAGACAGAGCCTTGCTGAATTGCTGAGGCTGGCCTCAGACTTCCAGGCCTCTTGCCTCACCCTCCCAAGTAGGGGGGGTTACAGGTGTGTGCCGCCATGCCTAGCTCCAACTCACACTTTCTCAGAAGTACTGGATAACAACAATAATAACAACAGCGAACCCTGTATCGTTTCCACCTTATGTCAGACACTTTTCAAACAGCTCTAGAGGCAGGTATCACTTTTTAAAGCCAGGCTGGCCTTGAACTCACTATGTAGCCAAGGTTGGCCTTGAACTCACGGCGAGCCTCCTGCCTCAGCCCCCTAAGTGCTGGGATTTCGGGTCTCCGCCACCACCCTTGGCTACCTTCTCCTTAGAGATGAGGGAGTGGAGCACAGAGAAGGTTAAATCACGATCACAAGGTCACAGCTGGAAAGCAGTGCTTCAGGGTTTTCCTTCCCTCGTGGAGTACCCCAACGCTGCAGAAGGCCTCACCATCCATCATCAGCATCTGCCGCGGAGGAAGGTGGCCTTGGGTGTCTCCGGGGACAGTTGTTCGGTGTTGCCTTCCAGAAGGACCCCAGCTGGTAGACACCGCAGAACAGGAAGCTGCCCTAAATCACAAGCAGCCGCAAGCTCCTTACCTCCCATCCCTGAGAAAGGCTCTGTTTCTCTGTGAACCCTAAAAAGTAACAGCACTCTTCTTCCAACACAGTGGGAGCTATCGATGTTTGTGTCATGTTCACAGCAGCACATGGTTCTGCGCAGGTCTGCAGATAACCGGGTCCTTTCTAGGGGTGACAAGGGCGTATGAGCGTCCCTGGATCCAGAGCCCCAAGTGTGTGCACGTGTGTGAGACCCAAAGGGCTGGTCCAGGGGCTGAGGTCAATGGGTTACTGGCTAAGACGGAGACCAAGCACCCTGTCTCCTGTCACCAGGCCCCTGGCCCCTTGTTCAGTGTGCAACTTGGCCAGCAGTGCAGAGGTGAGCCGGGCAGTTCCAGCAGCCCCTCTACCAGGGCCAGCCTCTGCAGGGAACAAGAAGCCCCACAGCCTGAGACCCCCGGTACCCAGGCTGTTTTTTCCTTCTGTGGCTTTGTAAAATTGAACTTATTGATTTTATATTAACAAAGTAATGCACACCTGTTTCGAAAACAAACTTAAACTGCATAAAAAGCTGCAAGTTGAATCCTCTTCACCCTCACCCAACCAGGTACATAGCACTCTGATCTTTTTTTTTTTTTAATCAGGAAACAGCTAGGCATGGTGGCACACGCCTGTAACCCCAGCATTCAGGAGGCTGAGGCAGAAGGAGGATCATTGCGAGTTCGAGACCAGCTTGGGCTACAAAGTGAGCCCAAGGCCAGCCTGAACTGCATTGCAAGACTCAGTCTCAAAAAGACAAAAAAAAATCAGGAAACAATTCTTAGAGGGCAAAGGGTAGGCAACTCAGAAAAAACTTCCAAGGGGAATGCAGGGTAAATAGAAAGGGCAAGGCATTGCAGAATTGACCAGACCAGGCTCAAGTTGGGCCTTAGGGCAAAAGAATTAAAACAGAGGCTCAAGCTAGGCATGATGGTGCATGCCTGTGATCCCAGCATTCTGGGAGGCTGAGGCAGGAGGACTACAAGTTTAAGCCCAGCCTGGGCAACTTAGCAACTTCACAAGACCCTGTCTCAAAATAAAACATCTTAAAAAGATTGGAGATGTAAGTCAGTGTTCTTAAAAAGATTGGAGATGTAAGTCAGTGTGAAGACCCTAGGTTCAATCCTCACTACTGCAAACAAACAACAGTAAAAGCAAAAACCAAATGCTCAGAGGCATGGGCTATCTGCCCACTTTACAGATGGAAAGACTGAGGGTCTACATCTAAGCTGGCTGTGAGGAGGAAATTGGCCCACCAAGGACCATCCAGGGTCATGTAAGTATGCGCACTATACCTTCCCCCTGAGTCGAGGCAGGGAGCACCAAGACTGGGTGACATGAGTCAGGGGAGAGAGAGAAAAGTCACAGTGCTGCAGAGACAAAGAAGGAACTGGGCCGGGCATGGTGGCATGTGCCTGTAATTCCAGCACTCGGGAGGCTGAGGCAGGAGGATTGTTGCTAATTCGAGACCAGCCTGGGCTACAAAGTGAGCTCAAGCCCAGCCTGAACTACACAGCAAGAACTTGTCTCAAAAAGACAAAGAAAGAAAGAAGAAAGAGGAGGAGGAGGAGGAGGAAGCCAGGATCTCAGCAGCAGCAAGCCCAGACAGGTCCCGAGGGTCTGACCTCAAAGCCCAGCTGGGTGACACCCGACGGTTACCTGGCCACCCTGAACCACTGCTTCCTCATCTTTAAAAAGTGGGAAATAGCATCTGCTTCACGTTGCCGGAGAATTCAACGAGATCGTACAAGAAATAGCACAACCTGGCCCGTCCCTGGTTGATGCCCAATAAATGACACCCAAAGAGAATGAGGTAGGGAGGGGAAATGAGGGTGTACGCCAGGCACAGAGAGGCAGCCCCCCAAAAACGCAGACCCTCAGAATTTGCTCTGCCTCCAGATATTTGTGAAACCATGCATCCGCATCCAAGCCAGCCCTGTTTTCTGCCCAAATTAAACAACAGCCACCCAAGGTCAGGGAAACAGCCGGCGGTGCCCAACAGGTCTCTCTCCCAGGGAGGCCTGGCCTTGACCTGCAGGTCGCACCAGCTCCAGCCTATAAGTGCCCTCCGGCCTCGATGGCCAGGCACTCCTTCCAAGCGGCACCATGCTGGGCATCACTGTCCTCGCCACGCTCCTGGCCTCCGGTAAGCAGCGGGCTGGGGACTCGGCATCCTGTGGGCTGCGACTCAGGCTGCCCCCCACCCTGGCCCTCAGCCCCGCAGGAAGAGCACCTCAGGGTCCAGTGTGGGCCCCACTGCAGAGCAGCTGTTTGTCCCATAAGCCGCTGGCCCGTAAGGAAGGGCCAGCGAGCATCTTCCCTGAAGGGGTGAGGCTTGGGGACACAAGCGTCACCTTCCGCAGCCGTCTTTGTTCTCCCCATTTCAGAACCAAGCTCCCAGCTTAAACTCCTTCCCTCTCTGCAGGAGCTGTTCAGGTCCCTGGGCCTCTCTCAATCTCGCTGGCTTACTGGGCAAGTGAGAGCACTTCATTAAGAGTCCTTTCACCCAACAACAGCAATGACGACAGTAATAATAACAGCTCCTGTTTATGGTGCCTTACTCTGTGCAGGGCGCTGCGCTGGGCCCTTCACAGTCTGTAGCTAATTTGATCCTCAGGGCAATCTGGAAAACAGGGTCTCTGTGTGTCCCCAGTTTACAGATGAAAACACTGAGGCTCAGCAAGTCACAGTGTCTGCCCAGGACCGCGTGGCTGGTTATGGGGGAGCCAGGTCTGTCTCCCCACAGAGCACTCTAAATCTCATACTCGACGCTGTCGCCCATGACGCTGTGACCTAATGAGAGACTGAAGGACCCAGGTGCCCCCGGTGCTCACCTCCTTTGCCCTCTGAAGCATCCACCATGCACAGAGCTTCCGCTGCCTCCAAAATGCCCAGGCTAATGTTCTCAGGACAGACTCACCAAACCAGCGCCATTCCTCTCCCACTGCACAGAAAGGGAAGTCGAGGCCCAGAGACCCAGGTGCCCCCTGCAGGCCATGTGCTAAAAGCACCCCTCCACCCCCCGTGTCCACACGGCCAGCCTGCCTCACCTGTGCCTCCTGCTGTCTCCCCAGCCTCCAGCTGCGGAGTCCCCAGCTTCCAGCCCGATGTGTCAGCCAGGGTGGTCGGTGGAGACGACGCCGTTCCCCACAGCTGGCCCTGGCAGGTGAGCGTGGTGCAGCCCGGGGGGGTGGGTGACCCCCATGCAGGCTGGGTGACCCACTTGCGGACTGACACGTGGTCCTCCTTCCGCCCCAAGATCTCCCTCCAGTACCTCAGGGACACCGAGTGGAGGCACACATGCGGCGGCTCCTTGATCACCAACCAGCACGTTCTTACCGCCGCCCACTGCATCAAGTGAGTGGATGACACCCGGGGAACCGGGGAACTGGCTACCACCCTAGGGCAGGATTCTGACCCAGCTGCTTTTATTGAGCATCTAATACACACTCCACTGAGCACTGGGCTCAATAAAATACTTATGCCCAGCAACACAGTTGTTCGTTTATGCAGTCAATAAACATTCCTTGTGCACGTACCGTGTGCTGGGAAACGCAGCAGAGAAGACAAAGTCAGAGAAATAATTAAACAAGCAAATTCGTTTTTTAAGGCAGGGTCTCAGTATGCCAGGCTGACCTTGGACTCACTATCTAGCCCAGGCTGGTCTTGAACTTATGTCGATCCTCCTGCCTCAGCCTCCTGAGTACTATGGCTTGCTGTCTATTTAAGAAGTTCACACAGTTACATTGAGAACAGGCTACAAAGAGTCCAGGGCAGCTGGGGATGCAGCTCAGCTACAGGGCGCTTGCCTAGCATATCTAAGGTCTTGGATTCAATCCCTAGTACTGCAAGAAAAAAATTAAACTTATTAATGACAAATTTAGTTCATGCACCAACCCCACTGCCCGATGAATGTCATCATTAGGTACAGCAAACATGTCCTAACACAAATTGGGGGGGAAAAGAGGCCAGTGCAGAGCAGAGTAAGTGAGGCAGCTGGTACTCTGCAGAGATGGTGAGGTGCCAGGCAGCTTGGCATGGGTCTCCAGCAGGGGCCCTGGCACCTGAGTCCCAGTACTGCCCCACTGTTCAGATGAGGAAACTGAGGCCCGGGGCTCCCAGCAGAAAGGCCACAGCATGAGCCCAGGGCTCGTGTCCTTTCCCCTCATCCTCCAAAGGGTCGGGATGAGGAGCTGGGCCACGCTGTCCCTCAGCTGGCTCCACCCTGACCTGGTTCCCTCCTGCCACCAGCAAATCCTTCACCTACCGTGTGGCCCTGGGCAAGAGCGACCTGACGGTGGAAGACGAGCCGGGCTCAGTGATCGTGGGTGTGGACACCATCTACGTCCATGAGAAGTGGAGCACCCTCCTGACGCGGTGAGCGCCAGCTGCCCAGGCACCGCAGGGCCAGCATGGCGCAAGACAGCGCTGACCGGAAGTAGCAGAGGCTAAGTGCAGATGACACCCCCAATCCATACCACCGGCAAGGGCCCGCCAGCGCCCCCGGAGGGTCTTCCCTGAGGTTGCCCAGCCCGAGGCTGAGCCAGGGCCCCTCTGTTTTTCTACCTGCACAATGGCCAGGGGCAGGGAAGTGACTCAGAGAGGGTCAGGACAAGGCCCTGGCTCCCACAGCCTGGTGCAAGGCAAAAGTAGGAATCCAACCAGGTCTCTCAAGGGGTGCCAGCTTTCGTTCTGGTGACTGAAAATATTGAAATGGCATCCAGTTCCAGGCACGGTGGTGCCTATCTGTAACCTCAGCTACCCCAGAGGCCGAGGCAGGAGAATCACAAGTTCAAGTCCCGCATGGGGAACTTAGTGATACCCTGTGTCAAAATAAAAAGATTTTTTTTTTAACTTTTTAAATTTAAAAATAAAATAAAAATAAAAATTTTAAAAGGGCTGAGCAAACAGGTGTCCCGAGGCTCAATCCCCACTTCAGGGAAGAATTTAGAAAGGCATCTTTGACTGCCATGCATTTGTCACTATAATCCCAACCCACCATCTTCCCCGCCCGCCCTTCTCACTGAGTCTCTGCCCTCCGACATCTCGGCTGGCCGGTCAGCAGCCAGCGGTCGGTGTGGTCCCTGAGGACCTCCATGCAACCTCGCCTGGTCCCCAGTGCTCGGTCCCCGCCCCACGGTGCGGGTTCCAGAGCCAGAACCCGCCCCCACTCACCCCTGCACTCCGGATTCCAGCAACGACATTGCCCTCATCAAGCTGGCGGAGCCCGTGGAGCTGAGTGAGACCATCCAGGTGGGCTGCCTGCCCGATGAGGGCTCCCTGCTGCCTCAGGACTACCCCTGCTATGTCACCGGCTGGGGCCGCCTGTGGAGTGAGTATGTCCCCCCCCCATACACACACACACACACACCGGGAAATCCCACGAGCCTTCCTGCAGAAAGCGTCTGACAGCCAGGGCTGCCCCCACGCGCCCTCCCCTCTTCCTCTGCCTGAACGTGCTCACATCTTTTCAAATCCTGTGACAATAACAGCTCATATTTATTAAGCACGTGCCATGCGACAGACACTAAGAAGTGCACGCAGCGGGTGTTCTAAGGAATGAATAGATTAGAATTGCTTAAGGGCTTGGCATGTGGTAAGCGTCATAAAAAGAAACTAAAATAAATCGTTCAGGGCTGGGGGATTACATTGTATGAGTCTCCATACACCCAAAGAAACTTCAGCTGAATTCTAAGGTCAAATACAAATAAAGGAAACCGCAGAAGCCTTAGAGGGAGATACAGATCCATCCTTACACTATTGGCGGGTGAGAAAGACCTTGTAAGATGGTTTTCAAAGGCCGAGACCCTCCAGGAAATAACCGTCAAGTAAATCCCTTAGAATCTGGCAGCCGGAGACACACTCAGTGCAAGGATGTTCGCCTAGGAGGCACAAGGCCCTGGTTCCATCTTAAAGAAGCCAGGCATAGTGGTGCACCCCTGCGATTCCAGCCCTCTGGGAGGCTGAGGCAGGAGGGTCACAAGTTCAAGCCCAGCCTGGGCAACTTAGCAACTTAGTGAGACTCAGTCTCAAAATAAAAACTGTAACAAAGGGGTGGAGTATAGCTCCATGAAAATTCCTAGTACTGCAAAAAAAAAAACAAAAAACAAAAAACAAAAGCCCTCAAAATCTAAGCACAAGACAACCTGGCTGGCTGGTTACTCCTTGAGCACTTCCTTCCTCTCCCTACACTCCCAGGGATCCCAACCCAAGCAGTGTGGGAGGTTTGGGACTGTGGCAGCCTCTGGAGGACTGACACAGGTGGGTCTCCCACAGAGTTGTGGCCAGCACTTGCCTGCGTCCGGTCCTGGCCTCTGTCCCCTGCGGGCCTGGCGGGCTGGGGCTGGCTCTGCTTGGCTGAGTCCCTGGTCGCTGCCCTCTCTCCTCAGCCAACGGCCCCATTGCTGACGTGCTGCAGCAGGGCCTGCAGCCTATCGTGGACCATGCCACGTGCTCCCGCTGGGACTGGTGGGGCTTCCAGGTGACAAACAACATGGTGTGTGCCGGCGGGGACGGTGTCATCTCCGCCTGCAACGTGAGTGTCTGGGCAGGGTGCGCCTTGGCCCCATTCTGGGTGGCCAGGTGGCTGGGGACAGGGAGGACACTAACCAGGGTGTGAGGGCAAACCCTTCCCTGGGAGGTAGCTGAGCCTGCACAGACCAAGCACGCTTGGGGGAAACCCGTCCCCTCCACCCATGCTCTGCTGCTGGCCCAGCATGCAGGGAGACCTAGGGAGCTGAGCATGAGGAGCTGAGTTCCAGTCCCAGGGTCACCGCATAGCTGTCATGGAGGGCAGGGTAGTGAAGCTCTCTGAACCTCAGTTTTCCCATCCATACAATGGGGCCACAGTAACCACTCCCAGAGGTGCCGTGAGGATGGAGTGAGTCTAGGAGCCACAGGAAAGGTGTCAGGGAAGTCCCTGCACATGGCCTGGGGACAGGGGACAGGGGACTCGGGGTCTGGCCGTAACCTTGCAACACCTAAGATAACCGGGGAATCTCCTGCTTCCAAACACACCGGCCTCTCCCCACTCCACCCACCTCACTTCCCAGGAAGCTCCCAGCCCCTTCCCATCCTAGGCAGCCCACAGAAACATAGGCACGGTGCCCTGAACATCCAGGGAAACTGAGTACTGGGAGGGCCGGTGTGATCACAAGATCAGGCAGCAAACCAGGAGCTGGTCTGACACCAGGGCCTCCCAGAACAAGGCTGTGCTTCCTCTGCCTTCTCAACACGCGCCAGCTGAGGCCCAAACAAGGGTCCCAGGCTGAGAGCCCGGCCCCTGGCCCGCTGCTCCCGCCCCCTCTACGGGAGCCCGGGCTCACACTGCCCCATGGCGCAGGGCGACTCGGGCGGCCCACTGAACTGCCAGGCGGAGGACGGGGCCTGGGAGGTCCGAGGCATCGTCAGCTTCGGCTCCTCGCTGGGCTGCAACACCGCCAAGAAGCCGGTGGTCTTCACCCGTGTGTCCGCCTACATCGATTGGATCAACGAGGTGGGCGGTGCCCTCTGCGCCCCACCCCCCGCACCCCACCCCACCCCGCACCCGGCAGCCCCTCCCCCTCCCTTCTCACACTCCTTCCCGGCTGTCCCCACCTCCCAGAGGCCCTCACCTCTGTGCTCCACTCTTCCAGAAACTGCAGCTGTGATTCGTCCTGGAGCCCTGACCGCCAACCCCTGCAACAATAAACCTCCTTCCCTCCAGCTGCCCAGACTCCCGTCTGATTTCTCCCTGAGGCCATCCCTCCTCACACCAAGGGGCAAAGAGGGACCCTCAGGCAGGCTGGGGAGGCCCCTGAGGGAGCCACGGGGGGGAGCAGGGGGTGTGGGGGCCATGTGGGTAGCCTGAGGGGACAGGATCAAGGACACTGCAAGCTTGGTGTAGGGGCGCACACTTGTAATCTCAGCCTTCAGGGAGGCTGAGGCAGGAGGACCACAAGCTCAAACCCAGTCTGAACAACTTAACAATTTAGCAAGACCATGTCTCAATATAAAAAATTACAAAGTGCTGGGGATGTAGCTCAGCGCGGAGACCCCTGGGTTCAATCTCTAGGGTTTCACACGCGCGCGCGCACACACACACACACACACAGGACACTGTAGACACTTGTCCCGCTGTCTCAAGCTGTAACCCAGCCCGCTCCAAGCAGATCTCAGCTTCTCCCATCCTGTCCCCATGGAGGAGTCTGGCGGGTTTCCAGCACTCTGGCTGAGCTAGAGCACGGGGGTCTCCCCAAGGGCGGCCTCCCCAACCCAGAGAGGCCAGGCCACAGGAGGCGCAATGCTCAGGCACAATCAGGGCTGCTGCTGGCCTGAGCCCTGACTGGGGCTGGGCCTGCGGGGAGGAGGAGACCTCAGCTCTGCAAACAGCGCTGTCCACAGTCAGGGGAAAAGCTCTCACTGCATGAGACGGGCGGGAACCTGAAGCCCAGAGCGAGAGAGCGCTGAAGGTCCCGGGAACTGACAGCCCGCGAGGCACGGGCTGCAAGGGCGATGGAGGGTGCGGAGCCAAGTGTACAAGGGCGCAGTGTCCAGCAGGGGTGTTCCATGGCCACCCCATCCCGGGCCTGGGGCCTGGGGTCCTCCTGAGAACGCGCTGATCCGCCAGCACCCCACCCAGCCTCTGACCTCCTCCGGGGGCCCGGGCTCAGCCGCTGTGAGGGGCTCATGGGTCATCTGCTTCCCCATCAGAATGGCGCTCTGGGACCAAGGGGCGGGGGCGTGGTGCACCTCCCATGCCCAGGGCTCAGGCGGATTCCCGGGAGTTAGCAGTGGGCTTACAAGAAGCAGGCACCAGCTCAGAGCTGAGAACCCAAGGCCGGTTCAGACAAGACCCCTGCGCTGCAGGACACACCCCTGACAGAATACAGGATTCCCGGCTGTGCGTGTGAAAGTAGAAATACAGACCACGAGCGCAGAAACGAGGCCCTTAAAACGGAGTCAGCGGGCAGCAGGAAGCCAGGGTGGCCTCATGGAGGGGGTGATGCCCAAGCTGAGTCTTAAAATTTTAACACAAGGTCCCCAAAGATCGAGGATGTGTCTCAGTGCAAAGGCCCTGGGTTCAATCTCTGGTAAGAGAAAAATAATTAAAAAATAAAAGCACTGTCCTCATTTTAACTTCCCAAGGTGGCTTAACTAAAAGGGAGTAGAGCTGGGATCCAAACTTTGGTGATCTAGCTCCAGCACCCCTACACTTGACCACCGTGCTCTACCATCCTGCAATGTAAGAAGTCTGCCTAAAAAGCAAATGTTTCCCATAAAAGGGGTCTGGCGCAGCTAATACTGCACTATCCCTTCCCTGCCTGGAATGTGGGTGCGATGGCTGGAGCTAAGGCAGCCAATTTGTGGTGAGAGAGTTGCTCAGAGGCCATCCACTTGCAGATCTGAGGCTGGCAATCAGACTGGTCACTCTCCTGGCAGCGGGAAGGGCATGAGCCAAATCACAGCAACTGCAAGGCAGGGACCCCGGCAGCAGGCGCTGCAGGGCAGAGGCTCAGGTTGGGTAGGGCAACCAGGTGTCCTCATTTTCCCTGGACTGAGGAATTTTCCAAGATGCAAAGTTTTGATCCTAAATCCAGAGCAGTCCCTGCAAGCCCAGCACAGAGCAGCAAATGATGGCAAAGGAGTAAAGTGCTTGGAGGAAGCCCTTGTGCCATGGAGGGGGGAGGCTTGAGATTTTATTTGGAAGGCAATGGGGAGCCATATAAGGTTCAGGGAGAGAAGCGATGGCTCAAGTCAGGTCATGTGACATGGCCAACTGGCCTGCCACTGTGTGCAGGTGGCTTGGACCAGGCCAGCACAGAGGCAGGAAGGCCCAGTGAGGAGGGCCCTGCCCGGGCCCAGAGTCCACCTAGACCAAGAATAACGCAACCCCATGAGAGAAGCAAATTCAAACCACGCTGAGATTCCATCTCACTCCAGAAAGGAAGGCTGCCATCAAGAAATCAAATAATAACAATTGCTGCTAAGGCTGCTGTGGGGGAAGGAGCCCTCCTACACTATTGGTGGGGGTGCAAACTAGTGCGACTGTGACGTGGAGATTCCTCTGAAAACGAGAACTAGGAATTCCTCTTGACCCAGCCAATCCCCCGCAAGGGACCTTCCGAAAAGAGTTGAAGACATCATGCTAAAGTGATCCGTGCACACCCATGTTTACAGCAGCACAACTTATACTATTAACGACCTACCTGTTTAACGACTCTTTGGACTTAAGATCCAGGCACACTGTGCAGACTTAAGACCTGCAGTTGGCCTTGTGACACAGGAACATGGGCAGCGGTATGACCTTATGGGAGTTTCTTCCACAGCGCTGCAGTTTTTCCTGACTGGACAGTACAGTACTGTAGTTTTATGTTCTGTTCTACATTACAGTACTGCATGAAAATTTCCTTTGACCACTTCTTTGTTCAAAATATTGCAATGCAGGGCCAGGGATATAGCTCAGCAGCACAGCGCCTGCCTAGCAAGCGCAAGGTCCTGAGTTCGATTTGTGGTACCAAAAAAAAAAAAACCCAAATATTGTAATGTACTAGTACATACCATATATATACTATATATTGTAATGTACATACTATTACTATATTGTAATTCCCTGTTTAGTGACCAATTCACTTAACAACCCTGTCGTGAACCATAACTCAGTCATTACACAAGGAATGTCTGTACTCAATCTTGGAAGCAGCCTATATGCCCATCAGTGGTTGAACAGATAAAGAAAAGTGGTATTTACACACAGTGGAGTACTATTCTGTCATAAAAAAGAATCAACTTGAGTTATCCCTAGGAAAAGAGATGCACCTTGACACAAAGCTGAATAAAATCAGACACACAAGCTTAAATAGTGCTTACATGAGAAACCCATCATATAAGCAAAGAGCAAAATAAAAATAGGTCATAGGAAGTAGGGAGACAGGGAGGCCCTCCTGTGCCTCACCCCTTTTATGCCACTCATGTCTCGTGGGGACCCGGGAGAAGATGCACATCCGGGGACCTGGGACTAATCTGGCGCCGTCCTGGGGTCTTGTAATTAACAGGTTCCGCTTATTTTCCCAGCCAGCTTTGCCACGCCCCACGAACCAACTCCCCATGGGAAAATGTAAACGTTATATAATACAAACACATACTAATTAAAAAATAACAAGTGGAAGAAAAAAAAATAATAATGCAGGCCAGGCAGAGCAGGAATAGAAAGTGCAAGAGGGGTACTCAGAATCACTCCAAAGGAATTAAGCTGCGTGTCAAGGAGCGGCCTCCCAGCCCCCATCTATATGAACTTTGGGGAATGTGACTGAATTATCACAACTGCTCTCCACTACAAATACAGGGTGAAACGTACACCAAGAGTGTGAAATCCTCAGGCCTGGGTCAAGTTCCACTGCTGTGCCCAGGAAGCAATGCCCATCTGGGGGAGACAGGACGCCTCCCCCGGGGGTCTGCCTGCTGCTGCCCGCCTCAGACCCTGGGAAATGTGCCCTTACATGGCAGAGGGGGTTGCAGATACAATTAAGGGACTTGTGAGGAGGAGATGATCTGAGTTCTCTGGCTGGGCCCGGTGTGATCCAAAAGGGTCCTTAAAGAAGGAGACAGTAAGGTCAGGGTCTGAGGAGGAGACAAGACGAAAAGCAGGAGCCCAGAGTCAGTGAGAAGGGGAAGAAGGGTCACCATCTACCATCTACCACATTCCGCTTGGAAGAGGCAGGAAGGGGCCATGGGTCAAGGAGCACTGGCGACCTCTAGCGGATGGAGGAGCAAGGGAACACCTGCCACCCACCACCCCAGGCCTCCGGAAGTGACCAGCCCTGCAACACCTCAATTTCCTCCAGTGAGATAAACTGTGGACTCCTGATCCCTAGAATGGGAAGAGGGTGACCGAGTGTGGCTTTAGCCCCTGCATGTTGGGTGACTGTTGGAAGGCCACACTGTGGCAGGCTGTGGTGGCTGCAGGGATGAGGGACAGGGCATCAGGAAGGGCTCCTCAGCCCTGGCTTGGCTGACAGCAGGGGTTTGTGGGCTTTGCCCAAGAGGTTACAGACTGGTGGTTGGAAGAGATGGATGCCGGGAACTTAGGTGCTGATCCTCCCTCTTCTACCTTCTGTCTCAGAGGAGCAGGCTGGGGCTCCTGAGGACCCCACACACCAGTGACCCCCAAAGTGCCACCGGATGTCCAGTGACAGTGACTAGAGCTGCAGTCTGTTCTTTCCATGGAAAGCTGTGGCTGGCACCATGCCAGGGCTTCACCTGTACCATTTCATGTATTCCTGATGACAATGCTAATTACCATCCCCTTTTCCAAATGAGGAAACTGATATAAACACGGTGGCACACAGCTGTGATCCCAGCACTCTGGTAGGCCGAGGCAGGAGGATCACAAATTCAGGCCCAATCTGGGCAATTCAGCAAGATTCTGCCTCCAAATAAAAAAGCCTAAGGTCCAACCTCTGGCATTGAGAAAACAAAATTTAAAAAAAAAAAAAAAGGTAAGGAAAATGAGTCTCAGAGAGCCTTAAACCCTCACCCTGATCACAGAGCTGGTGATGGGGCTCCAGGATTTAAACCCAGGAGTCTGACCACAGGGCCTGTGCAGCTCACAACCACATTATTCTGCCGTGAGCCCAGAAGCTTCCCAGAAGTCCTCTAGTGACCACGGAGGATGCAGGCCATGAACCTCACTAATAATGGTGGCAAGGAGTCCATAGAGACAGAGG